AATTCATCTTGTCTTGGACCAGAAACAGGTGGTGTTTTAATTTTTTTCACATTTTTTTCAAAAACAGGTAGTTTGCAGCCTACATTTTGAGTAGCACTTTATTACATTCTATTCAAATTTCTCCCTAGTGGTCCGGGAATTTAGCTCAGTGGTTCCACCACCTGCCTCACAACTGCAAGATCCTGAGTTCAATCCCCAGTACCAAAAACCAAAAAAACAAAAAATAAATTTCTCCCTAGTTATCCCAATGATGTCCTTTTTAGTTGTTTTTCTTGTGCAGTCCAAGATCCAATCCAAGATTAAATACTGCATTTAATCTTTTTCTTTTTTTTTTTTGAGGCAGGGTCTCACGTTGTACCTCAGGCTGGCCCTGAACTCACTATGTAGCCCAGGCTGGCCTCGAACCTGCAGCAATCCTCCTGCCTCTGCCTGCAGAGTGCTGGGACTACAGATGTGTGCCACTACGCCCTGCCCTGCATTTAATCTTTTAAGAGTCTACACCATTTAGGGCCAGGGATTTAGCTCAGTGGTTCCAGCGCCTGCTGCGTAAGCACACAAAAAAATGCTGAACTTCAAGAGTCTGCACCATTTATAGTGCAGAAGAACCCCGATTTCAGATTCATCATGTTAGACAAGAAACTACCTTGCTAATGCTTCTCACCCATCAGAGGGCCCTGTATTGGTGGTTAGATCACCAGAGGTCATATTTGTTAGAATTCTCTGCTGTAGATCTGGGGAATGTAACTCAGTGGTGAGCGCTTACCTAGCAAGCATCAAGGCCTGGTATTACACAGAACTACACAGAATCGCCAGTACTACACAGAAACAAAAAAGAAATCTCCACTGTGAGGGACCTTTTCCCATAGTCTTGATCATCTTGGGGATCCACTAAATAATGACTGATGAAGTGAATTAATAATGTATTTTGTCTCTAGAAATCATACCAAAAGCTACTATGTTGTCCAGTATGGAGTAGCAGCATACTACCAGTAAACCTTCAATGGTCTGGAAGTCCCATAAAAATAATAAAGTGTATTAATGTGCCATTAGAAATGAAGGTTTTAAAATTTTTGGCCAGACATCATATTATAAGCTTGTAATTCTGGCTATTGGGAGGTTGAGGGAAGAGGACCATGAGCTTGGGCCAACCTGGGAACTTAGGGAGACCCTGTCTCAAAATAAAAAGGCCTGGAGAGGTAACTCAGTGGCAGAGCATTTGTCTTGCATTTGCCAGGCCCTGGGTTCAATTCCCAGTACTATAAGACACTCACAGGAGTCTGCCTTAGCTTGGATTATTTCCCATGTGTCATGCGGAATTATCTAAGGAAAGTGCATTTATAACTGTACCAGTGGCCTACACAGAGTACAGAAAGCTGGTAAATAACTGTTGCTATAAGAAATCATTAAATTTGTGATCAAATTAATTTTTATGTGGGGTGGTGGTGAGGGTGGACAGGGATTGAACTCAGGACCTTCATACTGAGCTATTTCCTAAGTACTTTTATCTTTTTAATTTTGAGACAAGGTCTCCCTCAAACTTGTGATCCTCCTGCCTCAGCCTCCCAGAGAGCTGGGATTACAAGCATGCATCACCACACCCAGCTCCAGCCTTTTTAGTTTGAGAAAAAGTCTCTCTAAATTTCCCCAGCTGGCCTCCAATTTGCAATCCTCCTGCCGACCTCAGCCTCTGGAGCACCTAGATTACAGGTGTGTACCACTGTGCCTAGCACATTGGGTTTATGATGATGGTTTTTGTCTATTTGCATTGCTGGGTATCAAACCTAGGACCTCAAGCATGATGCCCAAGCTCTCTACCACTGAGCTACACCTGCAATTCTTAGTGTTGTTTTTGAGAAAGAGAAAACTGAGCTGGGCATGGTGCCACACTCCTAAAATTCCAGAACTCAGGATGCTGAGCAGGAGGATGACCGTGGGGTTCAAGGACAGCCTTACCTACACAGCAAGAGCCTGTCTCAAAAAAAGGAAACTAGTCGGGGCATGGTGGCTCGCACCTGTAATGCCAGCACTCAGAAGGCTGAGGCAGGACGATCACTGTGAGTTGGATGGAGGCCAGCCTGGACTACACAGCAAGTTCAAGGACAGCCTGAACTACACAGTGAAACCCTGTATCAAAAAGAAAAAGAAACCAACACAAATAATTTATATATACATTTCCCCTAGGAGTAGTGAGACAGGGTCTCACTATATAGTTCAGGCTGGCCTTGAGCTCACTATGTACCCCAGGCTGACCTCAAACTCACAGTGATCCTCCTGACTCAACTTCCCAAGTGCTGGGATTACAGGCCTGCGCCACCACACCCAGCTCAAGAATACTATTTTTTTTTTAAAGAGACAGTGTGTTAAAGTACTTAAGAATAAAGCATTACGAAATCTACAAGTGATTCTCAAACAGTTTCATTAAATACAAAAAGAAGGTGATATTTCAGGAAAAAAATCCGATTTTTTTGGTTTTGGGGGGTTTTTTTTTGGTACCAGGGATCAAACTTGGGACCTTGCACTTGGGAGCAGGCGGTGGAACTACTGAGCTAAATTCCCAGCCCCAGAAAAAAACATTTGAGAGAAAAAAATTTTTTAAATAGTACAAAGTTTTAACCAGGTGAGGTGGCTCACACCTTTAATCTCAGCACTGAGGGAGGATGAGGTGAGAGAATTCCAATTTTGAGTCTCACTTGAGCAACTCAGTGAGACCCTGAATCAGAGAGGGGAGGGGAGGAGCAGAAAAGCATAATAAAGTCTGTTCCATATTATTTATAAAACTGCTAATGCCAAATCCCATTTTCCAAGATACATTTTCACTGGATAAAATACAGTGGGCTCTCTGTATTAAAGTGGATTCTTCATTCATGGATTCAACCAAGCATGGATAGAAAATAATCATCTAAAAAGACTGCATCTGGACCAGGGATTTAGCTCAGTGGTTCCGCCGCCTGCCTCGAAAGCACAAAGACCCAAGTTCGATCCCCGGTACCAAAAAACAAGAACAAAAAAACAAATAAAATTAGCATGGCTTATTTTTAATAGTAAAAAGACTGCATCTGTATGTAACATAACAGATTTTTTTTTTTTCTGAGACAAGGTCTAGCCATGTAGTTCAGGCTGGCCTTGAACTCAACAGTGATCCTCCTGCCTCAGCCTCCCCAGTGCTGGGGTTACAGATATGCACCATTGCACCCGGCTTAAAAAACAGGTATTATTTTTAAGAATAATAATTTTAGGAGAAATTATATTTTTAGAGAGCCTACAGGTCTAATTTGTTACTGTCAAGGAAAATAAGTGTGACTACCTATAAAATTATTAACTAGCATTTCACCTGCTCTCATTCAGCTCAAAATTATAATCTAGTCAGGAATGGTAGTACATGCCTATAATCATAGCACTCTGAGAGGCAGAGGCAGGAGGATCGCAATTTCAACCCCAGCTTGGGCAACTTGGCAAGAACCTGTCTCAAAATAATAAAGAGGTCACGTGTGGTGGTACATACCTGTAATCCCAGCACTCAGGAGGCTGAGGCAGGAGGGAGGATTACTACAAGTTTAAGGCCAGCCTGGGCTGCGTAGTGAGTCTGAACTACACAGCAAGACCCTGTCTCAAAAACACCAATTAATAAATAAATACATAAATAAATGACTGAATTAATGAATAAATGGCTGGGGAGGTAGCTCGGTGTGAAGGCTCCGGGTTCAATTCCCAGTAACAAACACGTAAGTGTTTTCAAACAATAAATTAAAATAAATGAGAAGAGAGGAAATTTCAGGCATGCCATTTTGTTCTATTTTGTGTTTTTGTTTTGAGACAGGGTCTTGCTACATAGTTCAGGCCAGACTTCAACTCACTGTAGCCCAGGCTGGCCTCGGACTCATGGCAATCCTCCTGCCTCAGCCTCCCCAGTGCTGGGATTACAGGCGTGTACCACCATCTGCAGCCAAGCATACTGCTTTTACTTACCACAGTCAGTAGGCTAAACTAACTGGTCAAAGTACTAAGCCTCTACTCTCTTCCTAAGTACAGTAAACAAATCTCATAACATAATTTAAACAATGATATTAAGGTGAGGAAACAGTATTGGAACCAAATTTCTCTCTAGCATTTTCAATTCTTTTTACCTGATTTTAGGAGACTCATTAGGGCTCCTATTTTTTAGTCAAGGAAAGTTAAAAAAGGAATAATGACTTGTTAGAGAGACACGTTTAAGGAGCCCTGGCATGGAGGCTAATACTGATGAACCATCTTAGGAGGGGCCAGATCTGGGCCTGAACCTGAATCAATCACATCCTCACCTAGCAACTAAGACAAGAGGTTGTCCTTTCCAAGCCTCAGTTTCATCACTATAGAAAGAGGATGGTAATACTGTTTCCCTCAGATATAAAGTACCCAGAACAGGCCTGGCCAATGAGAATGTCACCTAATAACATGGAAGGCTCTGCAAAATCAGCTTTTGAAGATGAATTGCCAGTCTATGATCACTGTTTTATAGACAGTCTGAGCCGGGCGTGGTGGCGCACATCTGTGGTCCCAGCACTCAGGAGGCTGAGGCAGGAGCATCCCAGTGAGTTCGAGGCCAGCCTGCATTACAAAGCGAGACCCGGTCTCAAAAAGAAGGAAAGAAAGACACTCTTGGTTTGTGTTTGTTTTTGAAGTTTTGGGGACTGAATCCATGACTTCATGTATGATAGGCAAGTGTTTTACCACTAAGTTACATCTTGCAGTGCTTTTTATTTATTTATTTATTTTTGGTACCAGGGATCGAACTCGGGACCTGGCGCTTGCGAGGCAGGCGGCAGAACTGATAGTTAAATCCCCGGTCCCTTGTGCTTTCACTTTTTAATCTGAGACAAAGTCTCACCAATTTGCCCAGGCTGACCTCAAACGTGTGACCCTCATGCTTCAGCCTCCTGAATAACTGGGATTACTGGTCTATGCCACCACACCTGGCTCATTTTTAGAAGAACTGATTCCAATGTTTATGCAGGTTTTCTTACCTTACTTCTTCACCAGCAAAATCAAAAACCTTGGTGATTTTAACCTTCTCTGCTTCTTTAGGTTTCTCTAGCTCTTCTGCTTTGACCAACAATTTACTTGAACTTGTCTCGTCAGCCTGTTCTCCTGTCTATGAAAAAAAGCAAAAAAATCTAGTCAGTTTTACCAAACTAAAAAGAGCCATCTAAACATGCTGTTTATAGCTGTTCTTAAACGTTTCATTTCTAATCAGTTAAGATCTACTGGAAATTTGACTAAAAAGGCTTATTTTCCTATCATAAGAAATGCTTCACTTTTCACTTAGTAAAAAAGGTACTATCAGGGCCAGGGATTTAGCTCAGTGGTTCTGGCACCTGCCTCGAAAGCGCAAGGTCCCAAGTTCGATCCCCAGTATCAAAAAAAAAAAAGGCGGGGAGCCCTTGCACCCTGTAGGTAGCTGGAGCGACTCACGTAGCTTGGCGGCCCTGGGCTCCTTCTTGGCTCTCCCCACCAACATGCTCCAGTTCCTGCTTGGATTTACTTTTGGCAACATGGTGGGAATGTACCTAGCTCAGAACTATGACATATCAAATCTGGCTAAAAAACTTGAAGAGATTAAAAAGGACTTGGAAGCCAAGAAGAAACCCCCTAGTTCTTGAGGCTACTGCAGCTCTGCATTCTGTACACACTGCCCTCCTGCCTCTGAGCAGCATCCCTGACCTCCTGATCCCATAGCTCTGTGTCTCCAGCCTCAGCAATTTTCCTCTTTGCTAGACTTCGGTGCCTCGGAGCAAAAACAGGGCCCCAAGTCAAGAACTACACTTCACAATTTCAGCTCATGTCTTCTCATGTCTTCCTTCCACCTCTTTGGGAGGCCTGAAGACTGAAATTATGGTGCTAGGCTAGGCTGGCAAACATGACCTTTATTTAGTAGTTTCTCTTGTTCTTGGAGATTCCTACTTCTTGTCAAAACAAAAATTGCTAAGTCTGTATAGCTGATCAGACACAAATAATGCTGAATTCATTAGTGATAAAAGTGGGTGCTTGTTAAACACTTGTTACTAAACTTTTTGTTTTGAAGCATTAAAATTAGTATCTAGACCCCAGTTTCTAGTAAATTATCCATTTATTTTATTCTCTTGTCAGGCAAGTATAACTGATAACCAGTAAGTATACTGACAACCAAGTATACTGATAACCGGTAAGTCAATTTTATATTAATTAATTGAGAAAATACATTCTAAGAATCTTATAAATAGCTGATGAATTTAAAAATATGCAGAATAATAAAAAAAAGGTACTATCAAAAGGCATTTAGTCTTTTTGCTGTAAGATTCAAATCTTAGTTTGTAATTTAAACAAAAAAGTATCTGAGGAAGGTAGAGCATTTCTGGGAAAGTATTTATCTCATTCATCTCTAACCGTACCTTCGCCTGTTTACTTGGGGGCACTTTTGATTTTGGCCCCACATCATTGAGGAAGCTGGCCCAGAGTTCATCCTCCTTCTTTTTCCGTGCATCCTCTGACCCAGTGCCTTTCTCCCGCTCTTCTATTTCATCCTCCTCACTGCTGCTTCCTCCAGATTCTGCCTTGGCATCCTCCTCTTCCTCTTCTAACAAGAGGCCACTCTGTTTTCTCTTCCTGATCACCAACAGTCACCAAGAAAAGGAAAAAAAAGACAAAGCAAATTATGTTACCCCTTTCTCAATTCCAAGCATAACTCGCTTAAATTTTTTAAAAAAATTTTTAAATCTGGAACTACTATGGCAATAAACATAATGAGGGGAGCAATGGAGGTAGACAGATTTTGTGGAAGAAAAAAAGAACTAGGAAAAAAAAAAAAAAACTAGGCTGTTTTTTTTTTTCTTTCAAGTAGAACTGGGCTCTTATTATTGGCATTTCCCCCAATACTTAGAATCAGTGTTCTAAGTCATGACCAGCTATGTTCACTAAAAGGCACATAATCACTCACGGGGTTAACTCTGCTTAGTGTTCTAAGGACGTAAGTACACCGAATATTATTTTGACCTTTTAAAGCTGCAAATTTTGCTGTGAAAAAACTCAAATTTATCTGCATTATTTCTTAAAAAATATGTCAATGTTTCATTCCACTTTCTAAAGAAATGCAAGGTAAAACACAGAGTAACTCGTGGACAAAGACTTGTAGGAGTGATCGCCTTTTATACTATTTTGACTTTCAGTGAATCATCCAATATCTAAAATTCTTTTTCCTTTTCATAAACTACAATCTACTTTTTGCTCCATTCTCTAAGAAGACAGAAATGCCAGCAAAGTAAAAGACTTCTTAGAAGATGCTTTCATGCCAGGTGTGTGCTAGCACATGGCTGTAATCTCAGCACTCGGGAGGCTGAAGCAGGATTGCCACAAGTTCAAGGCCAGCCCAAACTACATAGTGAGTTCAAAATCAGCCTGAATACCCTATCAGAATTTTCGTAATTTTTGCTATTTTTAAAAATTTAACTGCACATAATCTTAGCTCAAACAATTCCATAATCTGTAAGTTTGACTTAGAGATATTTATGTAATTAAGACTTGTACAAAGCATATTCATTGCAGTCTTGTTTGCTGAGTAAAGACTAGGCACAATCTAATAAGGACATGCATAAATAAGGTGAGGTCTATCTGTATAAGACTATGCAGTAGCTGAAAAGAATGAGGTATGTCTGAATGTATTGTCATGGTATCACTTCCAAGATGTGAAATAAGAAAAATGAAAAACAATATATAAAGTGTGCTAGCATTTGTATTTTTTTTTAAATAAAGAAGATAAAAAAAAAACCATAAAGAGGATAGGAAATACATGCATACATGTTGTATATTCCCAGAATATCTTTGGTAACATAGTTCTGCAAGGCAAAGGATCAGCCCCTATTTGGTACTAATATTTTTGTTTTAACCAGTCTAATGAAGTTTACCTATTCATTTTAAAAATCAAAACCTAAAATTTTTTTAAGCTTGCAGAGACCAAGAATTTGACTCTAAAATATCACCAATGTTTCCCTCACAGAGAAAAGGGTTAGAAATCCTGTCAATAAGAAATCTATCAGCTGTCATGGCTTTTCTCATGATAGTTCACCATGTGTCCTCAAGGGTGTACTTTTATCTTGCTTTGTCCTTTTTTACTCAGCCGAAGCTCACTTTGCAGAGCTAGATTCTCCCTCACTCTTCATGCTTACTTTTTCAAATAAACTGTCACTTTTTTTAAATAAAGAAAGAAATCTACCATAAAGCTGGGCATAATGGTATACATCTGTAATCTGAGCACTCTTGTAGGCTGAGGCAGGAGGATCACAAGTTTGATCTCAGCCTGGCAACTAAGTGACTTAGCAAGACCTTGACTCAAAAAATTTAAGAAAATCTTAAGGTCTGGCGTGGAGGTGGACACCTGTTATCTCAACACTCTGAGAGGCTGATGCAGGAAGATCACAAGTTCAATATCAGCCTGGGCAACTAAAAGACTTTGTAAGACTTTGTCTCAAAAAAAAGGCGAAGGGATGGGGGGGGGGGGTATTCTATTATCAGACCAATCTCAGCAATCAGGATGGGTGTGACAATAGCCCTTGACTTCTAAGGGCCTGGAGGGCAGCATCACCTGGCTGGAAGGCTCTGAGCCTTTCTTTTTTTCCCTTTGGTTTTCTGTGTCTGCTCTTCACCATCCACTTCATCTTCCTTCACTAATTCATTTACATCATCTTCACTATACTCTCCACCTGAAATCACATAATAGGGTGGTCAGACAGATAAGAATAAAGATTCTCACATCAAGCAAAATTTATCATTAAGATAAAAGTTGAATATTTTCCTTTATTCTTCCCCTAAAATACCATTTACTTAGGGAAGTCTTCCCTGCCCCCAAAACAATGCTATATTCTCCTCTCCTAGTCTTTCACAGCAGTTATTCCCTCTCTGTAACTTATCCTGCTCATATTAATGCTTGCAATTTCTGCTACGCTACATGCTCCAGGAGGACATGGACTTGCTTGTGTTTTTTGGGGGGGTATCGGGGATCAAACTTGGGACCTTGCGCTTGCTTGGCAGGCGGTGGCGCCACTGGGCTAAATCCCTGGCCCTTGCCTGTCTTGATTTGTAAATGTCTGCTGAATGACTGAGTGAATTAATGGAAATTCCAACTCTACTAATGTACTTCTCAAAGAAGAAATGATGTTCCCGTGTCATCTTGGGTATTTTTCAAAAGTAATCCAAAGACACTTGGCCATTCCTGAGACATGGTAGTCTATGCCTATAATTCCAGCTATTTGGGAGGCTGAAACAGGAGGGTAACAAGTTCAAGGCCAGCCTGGGCAATTTAACAAGATCTTGTCTCAAAATAAAATAAAAAGTGGCTGGGGATGTACATCAGTGGTAGAGCACTTGCCTAGCACATGCAAGGGCCTGGGTTAAATCCTCAGTATTGCAAAACAGATACCTCGCCTTGTCCATAAATAGGATTTAGAAGGAAAATGAAGACTCCCAGTTGAATATGGCAGAAAGAGCAAACACATCTATGTCCGATCTTTAGACACTGGCACTCGGGAGTTCCCCAAAAAAGGCTGCCTAAATATCTAGTATGTCCAAATTCTGTGCGTAGATCAAAAACCAACCCTATATAACAAGAGATTCAACTTTTATTTGATGTGTTCATACTGAAACTCACACAAATAGAATGCACAGCTCAATGAAATGACACACAGTAATTCTAGACCCAGTCTGAGGGACAAAATATGACCAGCATTCCAGAAGGTGCCTGCACCCCCTTTCCAGGCACTCACCACCATCCCCCTCCACAGGTAACCACTGTATGACTTTTAACACCACAGATGAGTTTTGCCTTGAACATTAACCAAACAGAAGCCTACAGTATGTACTTCTGTGTCTAGCTTCTTATACTCAACAGTATGCTTGTGAGACACCTATATTGCAGCACGTAGCTGCAGTTTATTCATTCTCCTTCCTAAACATGTCTTATATGTATTATAAGTATTGTATGTATATGTATTATATGTCTACACCACAATTTATTTCTACACTCCACTGCTGATGGACACTGAAGCTGTTTCTGCTCTGGGTCCATTACAAATAGTACTGTTTGGATATTGCTGTATCTTCAACAGTTTTTTTCTTTTTTGAAGTTAATAAAGAAAAGGTACTTGTTTTGGCTCACAGTTCTGGGCCAAGGCTGAAGGGAAGCATCTGGTGACGCCCTTCTTGTTGGCAGTGTCCAAAAGTGGAGCAGGACATTACACAGCGAGTGCCAAGAGCCTGTAGATTTTTGAAGACTTTACTCACAATGAACCAATGGCCACCAAACACAAGAAGGCCTCCAAGAACAAAGGCAAGACTCAAGCAGAAAGGAACTCAGAAGAAACAGAATTAGTGCAGGAAGCAGGGGAGAAAAGAACCCTAAAAACTTTTGTAATCAATATTCTCAAAAAGATAATGAGCTTTTTAAAAGAAAATGTGGGGGGAAAACCCACAAAAAATCTGAAAACTAACAAAATGACAGCAGAGATTAAAAAGATAGGGAACCACCAGGGAACCAGGCATGTGAAAATTTGGAAAATAAGCATTCAAGGCCAATATATACACAAGCCAATATAAAGGTTCCAAAACAGAAGCCAATGTGGTATCCCAAACACCAAGCAAGGACAAGTGAAAGTGTTTCCTGAGGAGAGAAGAGAGCTCCAGGTGGTAGTATGAACGTACAAATCCAACTGTGCTTCCTCCTAACCGCCCCCACCATAAACTCTACAGCTATTAGGGTTTAAATGAAGTTTCCTTCAGATCTGTGTTCATGTAGTAAGGGCTGAGCCCCAGTACAGCAATGCTGAGGGTGGGAGCAGTGATGGGTCATGAGGGTGCAATCTTCACCGATAGGTCTTTTTTTTTTTTTTTTTTTTGGTACTGGGGATCGAACTCGGGTCCATGAGCTTATGCAGCAGGCGGCGAAACCACTAAGCTAAATCCCTGGCCCCACTGATAGGTCAATCCATGGATGCCATGCGTTCACAGCTGATGGGCTGTTAGGGTCTCACTATGTAGTTCAGCTGGCCTGGAACTTATTATGTAGCCCAGGCTGGCAATCCTTCTGCCACAGCCTCCTGAGTGCTGGGATTACAGATGTGCACCACCAGATGTGTCAAGATTACAGATGTAGCCTCCAACTTGTTATAAAACAAAACAAGACAAAAAAAATTTTTTTTGAGACAGGGTCTTGCTAAGCTGCTAAGTTGCTTAAGTTGGGCTTGAACTTGAGATCTTCCTGCCTCAGTCTCTCACCCTGCTGGAATCAGGCCTGTGCCACCAGCCTCAGCTATTTGCCCATTTTTATCATGAAAACTTACTAAAGCAGCGCATAAGCTTTGCAGAAAACTAGAACAGGCAGACAATTAAACATAAAAAATAGAATCATTAAATTCCAACTACTCAGAGATTATTAAAATCAATCCCTTAGTGAATATTTCTGGTCTTTTTCTAGACCCAGGTGCAGATTTTTATATTTTCCCCAAGCTTGAAATCAAATTTTCCATGTTACTTTGCAGCCTGCTCTATTCACTAAACAATTTCTACCTGTTGATTTCAGTAAGTTTTCATCTCATCTAGTATACAGACTATTTTTAAATTTTCCCAGTGAACCCAAGAATGGCTCATAGCTTGTTTTTCCAAATCACAGTGAGGAGGATGTACCAGTGTAACATGTGAGTTAGTTGTGTATTGTCTAGTGCACACTGGTTGTTCCATCCTTTAAGACTGTCTCTGTCTAGTGCTCCCTTCTCTACAGTGGCACTGATTTACTGATGTGGTAGGCCATATGTCTTGCAGTGTCTTCTAGATTGGTCTGATTGTTCCTCGAGGTGGTGGTGTTTTAGTTCATTTCTTTGTTCCTTGAATTTTCTGTAAATGGGAAGTTAGATCTAAATGCTTGATGTGTTCCAGTGAAATATTTTTGACAAAAATTTTAAGGTTAGGGTTAGGCTAATTTCATTACTCTTGTTTATCCTGCCAATGTCACTGAACTACAGTGAGATTCGTCTTGAAAAACTAAAAACAGAACAAAAATAAAATATGTTGGGATTGTAGCTCAGTATGAATTCAATCCCCAAGTAACACATACACACACAAAGGAAGGGGAGCAAATGCTGCTGACAGTTCAGACAAAGAGGATGTGCCTGGTTCGGGATCTTAAACATGTAAAAAAGATGCTCAATTATTAATTACACAAAAACAAAAAAATCAAGATCATGGAGATAACTATGAAGGGAAAAAAAAGGCAGTAAGAAGCAGAATAACATCCCTATAGACAGTAAAGCACTAAAGGAACAAATCGTGCCCAGAGACTCAGCTCCCAAACATCCTCAAGAGTCCCATGCTTAAAAATATGAACCAAGTAACAAAGAATAAGCAAAATTATGAGAAAGCATCTAACATAATAAAAGCGGAAAGCAAAAGGTGAAATCACCCTGGAAGAAACAGTATGAAGCCAGGCATAGTGGTGCACATCTGTGATCCCAGCACTCAGGAGGCTGAAGCAGGAGGATCACTAAGTTTGAGGCCAGCTTGGGCTACATAGTGAGTTCAAAGCCAGCCTGAACTACATAGACCCTGCCTCAAAAAACAAAAAACAGTATGTTTCCTCATTTTATGAGGCTACCATTCATTATCTGATACAAAACCATAGAAGGAAATTAACAGAAAACTAATCTCTCTCATAAACACACATGTAAAAAATTCTCAACAAGCAAGCCTAAACTACATAAAAAAGTCCTGTCTCAGAAAAAAGAAAGACATATAGGCCAGAGATTTAGCTCAGTGGCACCGCGCCTGCCTCGCAAGCACAATGTCCTGAGTTCGACCCCCGGTACCGAGAAAAAAAGAAAGACAACAGAAATACCAAATTAAAAAAGTGGAAAGCACTTTCCTTTGGGGAGGCTGACTAGTAACAAGGGGCAACTGGGAACAGCTAATTTTCAAAACAATCCTTTAGAAATACTTGACTATATTTAAGTATATGCATGCATAGCTTCGATTAAAATAAAAACTAGTTTTCAAATTTAATCACTTTCGCTGTCAGCCTAAGACCAATGTTGGAGTATGAGAATATAATCAGAGAAACCAATAAGGAAGCTATGGAGAATCCTAGCGAAGGGTAATGGTAGCTCGAAATAAAATAACAGCAGTGAGACTGGTGAGCAAGTGGTCAGAGAGTAATTTTCAACGTAGACACAAGAAACTCACTGGATGAACTGAAAGAGAATAAGGACGACGGGGATATGCTTGTGAGCACAGATGCCCCGAATGAGACGGATAAGTATGGGAAAGGAACAGAATTTGGACAGGACAGGTTTGGGTAATAAAATTTATCTTGGAAAAAAAAATTTATCTTGGCCCCATTTGGCTTGAGTTGCCTATCCAAAAAAGCAAAGTTTTGGGGCGCACGCCTGCAATCTCTTCTCATTAACAATACCCTCCTGAGGCCAGAAGAGGATGCATCCGTCTTGGACAGGACGACAGCCCGCAAGTCTGAAAATCACCTCCAGGATCCGGGTGGTTCCAGGGGGCCTGACTGCGTCCCGGAGACTGAGCCACTTTCCCGGGCCAGTTCCCGCGTTCCGCGAGTGGGCGGCGGCCGACGGGGAGGAACTGCGGCACCCGGGCGACTCGCTGCACCCTCGGCTCGGCCGGGGCAGCTGGGTGCAAGGTCCCGAGAGCGGGAACACTCGAAACCGCGAGCCACCCAAGCCACCTCGGCTACTGGGCCGACGCCCGCGAGGGCCGGGCGCGCCGCACGTGAGGCGCGGGGCGGGGCAAACACGCCTCTCGCCTCACACTCGCTCACCCGACGGCACGTAGTCCTCGTCCTCTTCCGAGGTGGAGAAGTCTTCGGAGTCGAATTCTTCCATGTCGCTGCCGCTCGGGGCCGGGCAACCCACAGGACTACAGCAGCTACACCAAACACCCAAGCCCTAGGGAGAGACCATAGAGCCGCGGCGGCAGCTAGCGTGGCCCTAGCAGCATTTGAGTATGCGCAAAGAGTATCACGTTGTCGGCAACGACACTTCCTGCCGCTGCCCCTGAGTGCACGTGCCTCCGGCTCCCGAGAGAGCGCTGACCCGCCGGGAAGCGGTGCATGCTGGGATTTGTAGTCAGGCTCTACCCACCTGCTTTAAGTAACTATCCTTAAATAAAATTATATATCTATGGAAAGTCAGTTGATTCTCATTATTTGTGGCTTTATATTTTCGAATATGTTTAATCACTAAGTTTTAATTCGTGACCGCCAAAACAGTACTTTCTAGGTTATTCCCAGGCATGCGCAGAGAGTGAAAATCCGGAGTCGTAGAGGTGTCAGTTCCCAGCGGAAGTTGAACCCTGCAGAGGCTCCGCCTTCTGGTTTAAACTTTCACGGACTATTCAGTGCCATCTTTTTCTGCATCGTTGTGCTTTTTTGTTGTTGATTTTGCTGTTTTAAATGGCCCCCAAGCGTACTGCTCAAGTGCTGTCTAATGTTTCTAAGCGCAAGAGGGCCGTGACGTGCCTTTTGGGGAAAATATTGTGTTAGATAAGCTCCGTTCAGCCATGAGTTACAGTGCTGTTGGCCGTGAGTTTAATAATGAATCAACAATCAGATACATCAAGAAAAAGGAAAAGGAAAATCGCCTATCTGTACGTGAGGCTGCCCCGGAAAGTGCTAAGCTGATATCTATAGTACGTCACGAAGCTATGGAAAAGCGGCTAAATTTGTGGATTCATGAGATGACGACAGATAAAAAGCATCATGGACAGCAGCATCGTTGTGAGACTGAAAGCCAAAGAAATTTACGGTCACGTGACCCAAGGTCAGCGAAATGCTAAACCCTTCTAGGCGAGTGCTGGCTGGCTTGCAAGATTCAAAAGGCGTTACGGTTTGACCAATGTTAAACTTGCAGGAGAGGCAAGCTCTCCAGGTCAGGAGGCTGCGGAAGAATTTAAAATATACTTGCTAAGTGTTATACAGAAAAAGGGCTATGTGGAAGAGCAGGTTTTCAATGCTGATGATACTGGCTTATTTTACAAGGATTTTGGCAGGTGAACCTCTAATGCAAATGGCTTCTAGAGCCCTGGTTTTAAGTCATTTCACAATCACACAACCTTGCTATTGTGCACCAATGCCAAGGACAACTTTAAGTGCAAACCCCTAATGGTTCACAGAGCCCCTAATCCACAAGCACTGCAAGGGAAAAATGTGAACCACCTGCCAGTCCATTGGAGGCGGAATAAAAAAGCGGGGATGATGTTGGATTGGTTCCACAGCTGCTTCATCCCAGAAGCTGAACACTCTCCAGGGCCTTCAAGATTTTATTAATTTTGGATAATGTCCCAGTCCATTGTCAAGAAGAACTTGAAAACGCACACCCCAGCATAGAAGTTCTTTTTATGCCCCTAAACACTACATCTTTCATCCAGCCCCTCAGTCAGGGCATCACAAAAACTTTCAAGGCATGCCATATCAGAGAGCTTTACACCAACGCTTGGGAGACTCTTGAGACCAACAAAGAAACCACCATGATGGACTGTTTGAAGTCAGTCACTATTCGCAATGTTATTGATTATGTTGTCACAGCCTGGGATGGCATTGAGCCAGCTATTATCAATAACTGTTGGAAAAATGTTTGGCCAGACTGTGGAAAGTTTCGAAGGCTTTGAAGGTGTAACAGAAAATGTAAAGAACAGTGTCAAGAACATAATATATATCACACAGCAAATAAGTGGAGAAAGCTTTGAGGACATGACAGAAGAAGACGTGGAGGAAATCTTGGCGGAGAAGGCAATAGAACCCACCAGTGGAGACCTGGATGAGATGGCAAAACAAGGAACTGGAGTCTACGATGACCAGGAAGGGGCTGGAAATCAGTTGGAGACTGCAAGAGCTGTAGCTCTACCGCAGCCAAAATATTGGAATGGAATTCTGCCTTGGAGAAAAATTTTAATGACAAGGAAGAGTATGACCCAGTGTTTAATCTCAACCTCACATTAAGCAGCTTGCCTCCACTGCCTTTGCCCATTATAGCAAGATGCTTGAAGAGATGAGGCAGAAAGCCAAGCCGTCAAAGCTGGTGCCATTTGTTTTTCAATTCAGATTGTTCCCAGTCAACAAGTGGCAGCCACCAGACTCTTAAGGTGGAACTGCCAGATGTCGACATGCCACCCTCTTCCTCTTCTCCATAGAAAAGTCCACCAACCTTGCCCTTGGTTTTCAGGGGGAAAATGCTGAAAAATGGTTTGGTCACACTGTGCCCCACTGCATCACATCCTGCAGCTCCATTAACAGTAAGCTGTTGATGTTATTATAAAAACTTAAATGCTTAATCTTGTAACTTTTTTCAGGACTTGACTTATTACTGTACAATATGTCTTTATAATACTGTGTATATTTGCCATGAGAACTGTGCAGTATGTCAGATTCTGTACTGACTGTGCTATGTATGTAGACAGTGTGTGTATGACTGACTGTAGGGAAAAGTGATACAATTTCAGTAGGGAACAGTGTGTTATACTAAAATGCTCTAATTGGATTGTTTCATTATAAATACTACATGTAAGCATATAATTATTTGTAAGATATATATTAAATAAGGCGTCTTTTCTGTTTTTTTGATTCAGGGTCTCACTCTACAGTTCAGGCTAGCCTTAAACTCACTATGTAGCCCAAGCTGACCTTGAAATCTCTGCGATTCTCCTGTCTCAGCCTTCCATGTGCTGGGATTACAGGCATGTGCCACAAGGCCCAGCTACAGTAAGGTGTCTTTGAACAGAAACACACATAAGTTTATAAACTCATCAGCTGGGAAAAGTATCGTGGCCTGAAGTTCACAGGAACCTACCTCACCCAGAAGCAATGGTTCAGTATTTTTTTAATTTAGTGGTAGAGACAACATTATAATCATAACTGCTATGAATAACTAGAATCAGTTATATTCTGTTTATCCTTTTTTTTTTGGTACTGGGGATCGAACTCAGGACCTTGTGCTTTCGAGGTAGGTGGCGGAACCACTGAGCTAAATCCCCAGCCCTAGAATCAGTTATATTCTGGAAAGCAAATATCATCTGCATGAATCTCCTCGAATTAATGCATACGTTGTATAGGAATACATAATCATTACCATTTTTTTCAGATTAAAGCATTTAATTATAATCCAATTATGAGAAACAATAATCAGAAGCAAATGCAGATGAGACATCAGCAACTACCATTCTACAGTATTTGTTCATGTTTTGTAAGATGAAAGAGTTATTTTTTGCCAAAAGTTGCTCCTTGCCAGTACCCTAGACTAGAGTGGATTTGTGTCACCCAGTCCTAGAGTTACCTAAATCAGGAATAGCAGAGTCACATCTATAATGCTCTCTACCAGCCAAAAAAAAAAAAATTAAAGCAACCATATCGATGTGTAATTCACACACCATAAAATCTACCCACCTAAAGTACACAATTCACTAGTATTTTATATATTCACAAGCTTGTATAATCACCAAATCAATTTTAGAGTTTTCATCACCCCGAAAAGAAACTTCCCCATTAGTAGTCATTTACCATTCTCGTCCTAATCATCAGCATATATAAATTTACCTCTTCTGGATATTTCATGTAAATAGAATCATACAATTTGTGAACAACTGGTCATTTATGACTGGCTTCTTTCACTTAGCATGACATTTTCAAAGTTCCATTTAGAGCACCATGTCTTTTAGAGATGGAGCACCCTAGAAATGGGATTACTCAATTGTAATTATTTTACCTTTTAAGGAACTGCCAAACTATATTCTCAAGTGGTTGCACCATTTTGTGATCTCACCAACAGTTTATGAGGGTTTGTGAGGGTGCCAGTTTTTCTACACTTGCCAGACTTGTTTGTTTGGTTTTTTTCTTTTTCTTTTTCTGTTTTTTTTTTGTGTTTTTTGGTACTGGGGATCAAACTAGGGATCTTGTGCTTGCAAGGCAGGTGGCCGCACTGCTCCGCTAAATCCCCAGCCCTGTTTTTTTATTTTTTAAAAATCGTTTTGTTTGGGCCCGGGATTTAGCAGAGTGGTGCTGTCGCCTGCCTCACAAGTGCAAGGTCCTGAGTTAGATTCCTGGTACAAAAAAAAAAAGATTTTGTTTTTTAAGACAGGGTCTCTTTATAATGGCATCCTTTGAAGCATGTTTTAATTTTGAAGTCTAATTTATCTATTGTTGTCTCTTGTGTCTTTGGAAGTTGTACTTCAGAATACTTTGCCAAAGCCAAAATCATCAAACTTATTTTTCTTCTAAAGTGTTTTATACTTTTAGTTCTTACATTTCAGTCTATGATCCATTTAAGCAGACTTTGCCTTATGGGAGAGTAAATAGAAAAACAGATACAAAATCTGACCCCAGTATTTGGTAGTTTGCTTTTCTGGGGCTCATGTTCCTTGGGCAGCATGAAGAGACCCACCCTAGCCCCACGGAGGGGGTGAGTCTGGGGATAGGGGCTTGTTGGCCTCCTCCAACAGCCTCTCTCCAGCGGCCCCACCCCTTCTCTTGGCACTCTACGCAGCTCTTCGAGCACAACCAAAAGCCCTGACCACTTTGCTGGCTACTAGGACAGGAGCTATTTTGTATTGTATCAGACAGTTAAGAGATTTAAAAAAAAAAAAAAGGTCAGCAGGCCAAATCCAATTTTTAAAACATGTACTATTTGTCATAAAGGTATTTTACATGAATTTAAACTAGTTACAGGCTGGGGGTATAGCTCAGTGGGAGAGTGTGGGCTTAGCATTTGAGAAGCCCTATGGTCAATCCCAAGCATCTAAATCAATCAGTAAAAGTGAGATTCAAAATATTCTAGATTTTCAGCTTCTCTTGGAAAATCTGGCAACACTGAGCTCATAATTCCACAAAACAGAAATAGGCTGGAACTAAGGAACACCTGGCTCCTTTAGTCAGGGCTCCCCAGGCTGACACAGTAATAACCCCTCCCTGTTTATAACACACCAGATTCCTGGTTTGTTATTCTGTCTTGGTCGTTATTTAGGAGGTCTTCAGGCCC